ATATGTGTACCTATAGTGCCATCATTCTTTTCTAGACATTTATTTCTGTAGAGCTTTTGGGATCAGCTCCTCCTTCTGCCCCACCCCCCACCTGCCACAAGTCTGAATGTCAATCCTAGCCTGGCAGCCACCTTCTAGGAAGGGGACCTGGTGCCCGTATAGGTCTCCATTTATCTGTAAAGTGGAGCAATAGTGGGTGTGAGGATTCGGTGACCCCATGCTTTCGCTCTCAGTCCTGACTGCTCATCAGAATCCTCTGGGGTGCGTCTCAGTCCTGATGCTCCGGTCCCACCCAGCCGACAGTCAGACTTTCCGGGAGCGCAGCCTGGTACTCAAAGCTCGCTGCAGCCCCCCGGGCCCCGGGGTGCAGCCAACCTCGGGAGTCAGCCTCCCGCAGACAAAACCCTCAGCATAGTGCGGGCACACAGTGTCCAGTGATGGTGAGTGCGTAGGGTTTCTATGGCAGTGGTGTGGAGTCGCTGTGACAGGCCACTCCACCCTGGCCTCCACTTTCCAGATGGGAAAACGGGTCGAGAAGCGGGGATGGATTCTCACATATGGCAGAATCTGAATTAGAATCCAGTGCAGGGCTATTTCTCAGTAAAGTTTTTTTAATGGTCAAAGCCAAGAAAACCTAGGGGGAGGGGTGCTGACAGGGTATTTCGATGACACGGGGTGAAGGAAGGAATCCAGGGACTTCCCAAAGCCCCCTCAGCTATAGAAAGTCAGAAACGCTGGAACAAACAAACAAACTCACTCTCATCAACAGTCATAGTGAACCCACAGGGCAGGGCAGAGTTTCAGGGCAGCAATTCTTTATGGGAGTGGAAAGCCTCGTCTTACTCCCACAGCACAGCTGGTGGCTTGGAACTGCTGACCTTTTGGATCGCAGCCCAATGAGTAAGCGCTACACTACCAGGGCTAGAAGGTCAGAAGAGAAAGAAACAGAGGGAGGGGGGGGGCTGCTTTCCTGGAAGGAGCTCCTTGGAAGAAGCCTGGCTGAGATCAGCAAAGAGAGGATCCCCTGCAGGCCCCCCAGAGGTCACCATCACCACCCTTCCAGGGTGAGAGCCTGGGGTGCGTGAGCAGGATGGAAAGTGCCAGCGCCCAGGCAGAGCAGGGAGGAGAGGGAGGGCAAGGCGGGCGCTGCAGGACTCCGCACACGCGGGATTCGTGTGTGGCCACAGCGCCCCCTGGTGGACAGACCGGTGGCCGAGGGCTGGAGAGGCTTAAAGCGGACAGGGGGGTCAGGACCAAGCCTGAGAAACAGGAGCATGCAGCGCTGGTCCCACCAGACCACCTCACACGGAATCACTGCTCTCCAGCCCCCATCTGAGGGGTCCCGCCCCGAGTCTGAGGCCATGACTTGGGTGGGATGCTTCAGACCATGGAGCGTGCTCACAGTGCTGAAGTCCTGCTTCTGTGCTGTCCTGGCTGTGGGACCTTGAGCAAGTCACCTGCCCTCTCACTGAGCCTCAGGATTCCCCAAGTGAAACATACCAAGACTTTTAAAGTCCTGAGAACACCGCACATTTAAAAACAAACAATTCTGGCAAGTCGATTCCACTGAGTGGCCAGCCCAGCTGCGCAGCATAGAATTGTGCTCTGTAAGGTTGCCAAGACATGAATTTTTGGAAGCAGAGCCTCAGGCCCTTCTTGTAATGTGCCTCTGTATAGCCTCGAACCTCCAACCATTAGGTTAATAGCAGAACGCGTAACGGCTTGCAAGGAGCCCTGATGGCATAGTGGTTCCGTGTTGGTCAGCGCTTCTAAACCACCAGCCATGCCAGGGGAGGATAGGCTGTCTACTCCTGTAAAGAGTTAAACAGTCTCAGAAGCCCACAAGGGCAGTTGTGGCCTGCCCTGTGGAGTTGGTATCCAGTTTGGTCTTAACTATTAGCACCCCTGGGCACATTCACACGTAGCCAGGGACACATAGCATAGCACGTTCCAAGTGCTAGTTAGGCGTTGGTTAAGCCAGCCAATTATTTTTAAGAACTTATGCAAACTTTCACATGGTTCTGGAATATAAGTAACAGACTTGTTCGAATGGAAGCTGTCACTGCCATCAAGTCGATGTTGACGCATAGTGACCCTATAGGACAGAGTAGAACTGCCCCTGTGGGTTTCTGAGACTGTCACTCTTTTTCCCCCTCCTTCTGCCAAAACAAACTTTATTGCACCTAGAAGAAAGAGAGAAAAAAAAAACTTCATTTATGTACAGTCAGATATAAAGACATCTCTTCGACTCCTGTGCTTAGAGACTGTCACTCTTTACAAGAGTAGAAAGCCTCATCTTTCCCCCACAGAGTGGCTAGTGGTTTCGAACTGCTGACCTTACAGATCACAGCCCAACTTGTAACCTTAGAACACTGGCTCCAATTACTCATCTATTTAATTACTGTTCCCGTCCCTGCCCTGCCCGCCTGCCCGCCTGCTCCCTTGAATAACGTTGGTACTTTCCAGCAATGTGAATTGTTTATTCGGTGGCTCCGGGAGGTTGAGGAACGCCCCAGGGAGCAGGCGTTAAGTGCTCAGATGGCCTGCTTCCAGATCCAGATGGCCTGCTTCCAGATCCCAGACCGGCCATTGCCTGGGTGTGATTCCAGTCAGCGCACTTCAGTCACCATCAGCCGAGTGATGACAGGCTCTTGTGAGGAATAAAGGAGCCGGGCCTTGCCTCTGAGTCAGAGAAAGCACTCAGGGCAGGAGGGGGACCAGAAATAGGCATGAGCTATCTTTGAGGCCACTCCCGGTGAGGATGGTCAGGACTGACGAAGGGGCAGCTGAGAAGGGCCAAGGCACCCACCGAGGCCCACGTGGGGCCCTTGAGTAGGCCTCTGCCCAGGAAAGAAGCTCATCAAATGCCCCAATACCGGGCACTTTGGGACCTGGGGAGGGACAGAGGAAAGGCTGGGTGTCCCTACCTGACGTCGGGGTTGAAGTCCAGCCTGCTGGCCTCCCACCGAAGCCTGGCCAGGGTGGCTCCGCCTTCCCTCTGGAGGACCAGCAGGCCTGGGTCCCTCAGCACAGCCTCCATCAGCTCCTTGGACTTGCTCAGGCACCGGGCAGCCTCCTGCCAGGATGGGGAGGTAGCCTGAGGCCCAATCCCCACTGTCCTTCAACACCCCTCTGGGGCTCCCCACATCCACAGCAAGTTCAACTTTTCAGTTTGGCATTCAAAAGTCCCCGCAGAAAGTCTGTTCTTTCTCTCTGTCTGAAACATCGCCCAAGCCACGTCCCCTCCTATCACCATGGCAACGCAGCTGGTCCAAGCTCCTGCACCTCTGGTTCACAGGCCTTCTCACTGACCCCCGGCTGCGCTCCGGCTCCCCCTGCGGTTTGCTCGCCGCATGACAGTTGGCTGAATCCCAAGGTACCAATCTGATCCTGTCATTTGTTGTGGCTTCCCTCCCAGGTTTACAATCAAGTCCCAACCCCAAACCTCCCGGATCCTCCCCCTGACTCTTTCTCTTCTTCCTTCCTCTCCCCCACTTTGGTCTGTTCCACGCTAGTCTCCTTGCTACCCTGAGCATGCATAAGCCACCGAGGGTCCTCGAACGTTCTCCCTCCTCCTGTTCCCTGGTCCTTCAGGCCTCCTCTGAAAGGCCACAGCTTTCCTTGGCCACCTGGATCGGATGCCCCCTCCCTCATCGTTCTCCATCTTATCTGCATGGCACCATTTGCTTTGATACTTTTATTTCTTTGTTTATCGTTCACCTGGCTGCCTCTTCCCCTGCACTGTGAGCCCCAAGAGGGCCCCAGGCAGGGTTTCCAATGGGGCGGGGTGGGAGAAATAAAAAAAAGAGTCAGATGAATGAGGGAATGGAAGGGAAAGAAGGGTGATGGTGTCCACCTTCAAAAGCCCACCACGGGCCCTTGGTCCCTGAAGTCTGGGTGCAGTGTGGCTTTCCCGTCCTGGCTACAGTCTCACCTGCACGCCCCCAGGGGCGTCGCCCTTCTCAAACTCCTCGATGGAAGCCTGCAGCAGGGAGGAGGCCTGGCGGAGCTCAGCGCGGAAAGGATCCAGCTTCTGCAGGACAAGGGGCCAGAGAGCTGTCAGCCGGGACTGGAGCAAGGATGCCTCTCCCACTCCGGAGTGCACGGGGCATGTCTAAATCACCCAGGGGGCTGGGGTACACACAGCTTGAAGGACCCCACACCCGAGTGTCCCATTCAGTCCTTCCTGGTGGAGCCTGAGACCCTGTTGGCTTGTGCCAGGCCCAGGATTTGGTCTAGTGCTAGTGGGATCTTGTTGTGGGGGGCAGGTCTGAGCTACTCCCAGGTCAGTGCGGGCACCTTGGGGGAGGAGATGGCAGGTGGTGAGAGGGCAGAGTTAGGGGCCATCCTTTGCTGGGCCCCACGGTAGCCCAGCTCCACCACTTCCTAGCTGTGCGCCCTTAGGGAAGTATCACAACCTCTCTGAGCCTCCTTTTCCTCCTCCGTAAGATGCGGAGCCTAGCACTTCCCGAGTAAAGTAGACCAAGGAAGAACTGGTGCATTTGAACTGCAGTGCTGGTGAGGAATATTGGAAAGAGCGTGGACGGCTACAAGGACAAGCCGTTCTGTCTTGGAAGAAGTACAGCCAGAGTGCTCCTTAGAGGCAAGGCTTTGTCTCACATGCTTTAGACATGCTGTCAGGAGAGACCAGTCCCTGGAGAAGGACATCCATGCTTGGTAAAGTGAGGGGGAGGAGGGGGGCAGAGGCAAAGAGGAAAGGCCTCAAGGAGATGGATTGACACAGTGCCTGCATCCATCCATGGGCTGAGGCAGAGGAACGATTGTGAGGCTGACGCAGGACCGGGCAGTGTTTCGTTCTGTTGTGCACGGAGTCGCTCTGGGTCGGAACCAACTCAATGGTACCTACAAAGCCATAGCAGTTCATGTCTTAGAGGTGGAGTGAGGACAGACTTGTGTGCGGCACTGAGAACAGCGCCCCTGCCTGCCCGCCAGACCCCTAATGTTCTGCTCACCATTGCTGGCCCCCCTAGGGGTAAGACTTCACCCAAAGGGAGGGGTCTGAAAATAGTGTGTTCAAAATCCACTGGACCCATCGGTTGCCTGTGCAGAGCGGGCCTGGTGGATTAGGCCCCGTTGTTAGGCGCTGCTGAGTCGGTTTGAACTCACGGCGGCCCTGTGCACAACAGAACGAGACCCGACCTGGCACCGCGGCGTCATCCTCACAATTGTGCTCATGGTTGAGCCCATTGTTGCAGCCACCGTGTCAATCCATCTCATCGAGGGCCCTCCTGGGGGCCTGGTGGTGTGGTGGTTCCATGTGGGGCTGCGAACTACAAGGGCAGCAGTCAGAACCACCCGCTGTTCCTTGGGAGAAAGACAGCTTTCTACTCATAAAGAGTGACAGTCCCAGAAACCCACAGGGGCAGTTCTACCCTGTCCTGTAGGGTCTCTATGAGTCGGAATCGGCTTGACGGCAGTGGGTTGTGCGGGACATGCAGCAGAGGAGAGGCTTCCCTGGAGAGACTCTGGGCTCCATTGGATTTGGAAAATGCTGCCGACTCCATAAAGGACATCTTGGCAAAAGGAAAACCAACAAACGAGTGGTTTCTGGCCAGGGATCCCCTGGGGACACATCTGGCCACCCTCCGTGTCTCATGTGGTCATCACAATGTGGGCCTGCGGCTGTCACAGAGTGAGCAGAGGCCTGGGATGTGCACTGCCCGAGGCAGCCTCCCACACAGATTCCCCTGGCCAGTGTGTGAACAGTGCAGAGGTTGGGTGTTTGGGGGGTACAGGGGCACTAGGCTCATCCTGAGATTCCCTGTGAGTGACCATGCAGGCCAGCTGTCCTGTGTGTCCTTGTGGATTAAACTGCACATGAAATGCCCCCTTGCTGGGTGGCGGGAGGAAGGATGGAGAGCACTCAGAAGGAGCCCTGAGTGGTCAGTGTCCTAGTTGACTCCCTCAGACAGGAGGGAAGGGCCCTCCCTCCCCCATCAGACCCTGAGCTCCCTGACATCTTGGACCCACAGAGCAGGCACCTGGGAATATATTTCCCGGTGGCATGGCCATAGCTCTTGGCAGGCAGGGAATTCCATGCCCACGTTCACTCAATGCATCTTCACCGCAACCTCATAAGGAGGTACTAGTGTTTCTTCACATTTTGCAGAAGAGGACACCAGGGCTCAGAGAAGGTAAGTAAGTTTCCTAGGGCCACACAGCCAACCTGGAAGTGCAACCAGAGCAGTCTGGTGCCAGAGCCTGAGCTCTTAATCTCCCCCCCGCCCCCCACTCCCTAGTTGAAGGACTGCCTGCTTTTGAACTTGGCCAGATCCTTGGGCCTATGGGGCAGGACGGTGATGGGAGAAAGAGAAGGGGCTAGGGTGGGGTGTGTGTTCAAGGCCGTGATGGTAGACACCTGGAAAAATTGCACCCACTCGCTGTGGCAGTAGGGCAGGGAGCCTTCCAAGGCGGTGGGCAGCTGGCTGGGGTCCACATGGCAGCTGAGTGCCTTCAATGAGGGCAGCACTTCCACCTGCAGACAGAAGAGGGGAGTCAAGAGAGCTAGGAGACTCCATGTAGACACTTGTGAAGGCCTCATTCAGATCTCTGCCCCAGCACCATTTTATTCCCACAGCTGAGGCCAGTCCCTAACTTTAAGAGTTGGTTTCTGGGTAACCTAGCTTCTCTGGAAGTCCTGACAACCTAAACATTCAGAGCCAGACTCTGGTTAGGGAATGTCAAATAAACAACACTCATGGTGCTTCTCTCCTGACCTGTACCCAAGGCAGACATCATTAATCAATCACAGAGCGTGTTCCCTCCTACCTGGGCTCCTCTTCAGCATAACTCTCTGGGCAATCACACAAGTTGATTGAAGTTGGCACTTGTGATGAAACACCTTTTACAAACCCCGTAACTGTTCTCGGGTGACCCACTAACATGCTATCTCTTTCCTGGGGCTGAGAGGAGCGGTCACTTGACCCTAACAGTGTGCCCTAAGACAAGGGCTGAGGGACTGCCTCGTGCAGACAGTGATGTTTAAGGTTCACACAGAGAACAGCTGCAGAACCCACGCTTGGGAGTGGGTGGAATCTGTGGTTCTTTGGGGCCCACCTTCTATGCCTGCCACTTGAAGTGGGGTCCCCGGGAAGACCTGCAGCATGTGCATCACATAGTGCCCATCAAAAGTGCAGGCTCTGACTGGCACTGGCTCCCTGACGAGCTCTCCAGAGTGATAGGCACGTCATGGTGTGCACAGCATACCTCTAGCTCTTGGTGTGCATCTTTACTGACCAGGAGGAAGTGGGAGGCTTTCAAAACCACCACTGGGAGCTGGACAGCAGGCTGGGTGCCCATGCTCATGACTGAGGCAGAGGGCACTCATTAAAGGGTGTTGTAGTGCTCCTGCCCACCACAGCCTGAAGCAACTCAACTCGGCCTCTGTCCTATGTAGGGAGAGGGACTCAGGAAGCGCAGGTGGCAGGGTGGGATGGCCTGCACATCTAGAAAGCCAGCTCTACTTACAGCCTTGGGCCTCAGTTTTCCACTGGAGCAGAAGGACAGGTTGGAGTTTTACCAGGAAATCCCTGCATGCTGTGTGTGTGCCCCTCAATAGTGTGGCCGAGGACTGCCCAGGAGAAAGGAGGCTGTGACAGACCGGGCGATGCCTGCCACAGGGGGCTGGCCTGCAGAGCTGGGACTCCCAGGCCTTGCCTTCTTGACCAGCCCACTGGAAGGCCTCTCCTAGCCTGTGACTTTGGCAATTCTCCACCGCTCTGAGTGTTGTCCTCGACCCCCCTACCTCACCTGGACGTTGGGCAACATCTCCAGCTGGCGAGCAGACGCCTTCTCCCCCAGGAAGAGCAGAGTCTGAATGGCGGCCGGGGTCAAGACCTGCCAAGGAGAACCATTTCTGAGCTGCACTGATCACCGCTGCACGGAGCCTCCTCAGCCTGATTCACTCCTCCTTCCCCCAAACAGGCAGATGGGTCACGGGGCAAGACGGGGCTCTCCGTGGGTGGACCCTTTGTGGGATATGTGCGAAGGTGAATCCTCGGAAGATAAGACAAGTGGGTTCAAGCTGTGTTATAGCTTCCTAGATGATCTTCTCCCTGGGCCTCAGTTTCCCCATCGATAAACTGAGGGGGTCAGATCATGAGGCAAGGGCATCCCATCCTTCCTTTCATTCTACTTTATAGGGATCTCTTGCCTCCCCTCATGCCCCATTCTCAACCCCTGAAGTCCATATGCCCCAAGTCAGAGCCAACAGCCACTGGGCCACTGCAATGGACGGAAGAATAAGATATCACCGTAAATGAAACACAAGGAAATTTTGCTGGGTCCTCTGGGGGAAGACAGCTCACACTCTTTCCTGCTGAACTTCCTTGTGTGAAGGGGACGATGCTGGGAATCAGACTGCCACCCAGTGAGGGTCTGTTTGAGAACAGCACCACTGCCTAAGGGGAACAGGGTCAGAAATGGAGAAGCCCCGGTGACAATATCTCAGCCGTGGACCAAGCGATACTTGAAACTAGTGTAATTTCTGGGCTGTCCAGTTGTCTTGAAGCCTGCTTGGGCTCAGTTATCTCTGTTACTCGGTTGTTCATCAGGCTTCTTGGGCCCTGATTCCAGCTCTGAGCTCCTCAGGCTCACTGAATGTCAGGAGGGCGTGGTGGTTCCTAAGACTTGCGGGCATGAGAGTCTGTCCCTCCCACTCACCTGGGTGGCCTGCAGGGCCTTGACCAAACTCGGGTGTGGGGCCTGTTTCCTGGCATCAATCAGGACCGCCAGCCCTTCGGTTTTAGTTTTAGGCCTGTGGGTGGCAAACAGAATTGGCAGTCTTGTTGGGTGGGCTGGGGACCATCAGGGAAAGGATTTAGGGGAAGGGGAAGGAGACTAGCCACCAAGAAATCTTGATTTGCTGGTGAACTCTTCATTCCTAAGTCCAAGTTCCAATGCCCCCCCACCCCCAGAAAGTCCTCCATGAGTCCATAGATCAGTACCTTGCACAGTTCCTTCATAGCCCTTAACTCAGCTCAATTCAACTCAACACAGCTCAGCTCAGCCCAGCCCAGCCCAGTCCAGCTCAGCTCAACCCAACCCAATTAAACTCAACTTAACCCAACTAAACACAACTCAACTCAATTCACAACATAGCTCAGCTCAGCTCAGCCCAGCCCAGCCCAGCCCAGCCCAGTCCAACTCAGCTCAAACCAACTCTACTCAACCCAGCCCAGCCCAGCTCAGCTCAACCCAACCCAATTAAACTCAACTTAATGCAACTCAGCACAACTCAACCCAACCTCAGCTCAGCTCAGCCCAACTCAGTTCAACTCAACTCAACACAACTCATTGCCATTGAGTTGATTCTGACTCATAATGACCTTAGAGGACAGGGTAGAACTGCCCCTGTGGATTTCTAAGTCTGTAGCTCTTTATGCGAGTAGAAAGCATTCTCTTTCTCTTGTGGAGGGGCTGGTAGTTTTGAACTACTGACCTTGTGGGAAGTAGCCACATGCATAATCACTACACTACTAGGGCTCCTTTACACCCCTAGTAAGCATAACTTCATACATTTGTCCCAATTTTGGTGGGAAAGCCACTTGGCAGAGCGACTATTTTTACCTAAAAATCCAACTTCTTCCATATCACCATTTTTCCCAGTAGCTTGTTTCTTATTGGTTGAGACTAATAAAACCCCAAAGGAAATCTCTTGTGTATCGATGATTCTGACTCCACACTCAACTAGCTCATAGTGACCCAGAGGAAAAATTTTAGCACCTTATCATTAGATTGCCCTTATGACACCTTTAAATTTGTTCTAGTTTTTACTATTTTCTACTTTCTTTTCAATTGAGGTTTTTAGCTGTTTTACTTTGTTACTTTTGTTAGCTTAGCTTTTGGTTTGTTTGCTTTTTAATGCTTTCTGTATATGAAGTCCAGGATAGGTAAGTGCATAGAGTCAGTAACTGGATTAATGGTTCCTTGGGAGTATGGCAGGGAAGGTTGGGAGGAAATGGGGAGGCTACTAATGATGAGTACAAGAATAAGAAAACATTCCTAAATTGATGTGGTGACGATTGTACAACTCTTCTTGACGTGACTGAACTATTGAATTGTATGATATGTAAATTATGTGCCAATAAAGCTGTTGGCGGGGGGAGAAGGAAAGTGAAAAAAAAGTTTCAGAGACTATCTATCTTTATAGGAGCAAACAGTCTCATCTTTCTGCTGTGGAGCAGCTAGTGGGTTTGAACCTCTGACCTTGACATTAGCAGCCCAACTCCTAAGCCAGCACAGCGCCCCCAGGGCTTTTTTGAGGTTAGTAGTGGGGGCCCAGGAGCGGTGGAGTGGGTTACACTTTAGGCGGCCAACTGCAAGTTCGGCAGCTCAAAACCACCAGCCATCCCTCAGGAGAAGATGAGGTAGGTGTTCTATGCCTAGAAAGGTTACAGTCTTAGAAACCCACAAGGGCAGTCCTACTCTGTCATACAGGGTCACTATGAGTCAACATCGACTCAATGGCAGTGAATTTATTTTTTGAGTGGTGGCCCAGTTCCCTTGGCCAATGATTGGTTTATTTGTTTATTAAACATTTTCATTGGCATTGCATCCACACATAATACAATTCAATAGTTCAATCATATCAAGAAGAGTTGTACAATCATTACCACAATCACTTTTAGAGCATCTTCTTCCTCCTTGTACTCCTTGTTATTAGTGTATTTTTTAAAATTATGGCAAAAATATACACAACAAAACATTCTCCAATTCAACAACTTCTACATGCACAACACAGTGGCATTGATCATACCTTCATGTCCTGCAACCATTATTGATAACCTTTTCCAAATTATTCCACCACCATTAACATGAACTCAATGCCCCCTAAGCTAAAACTCTTCCTCCTGCGCCATGGTAACCAGTGGTCAACTTTAGGTTTCTCAGTAGTTTTCTTGATATAATAGTCACCTATCACACACTCCCATAGTTAAGTAACTTTTAAAAAGAGTTCTATGTACATCACCTCAATCAGTTCTAGTGCTCCCTCCCCACCCCATATCCCAAGAAACCATTTGTATCAGTTATTGTCTCTATGCACCCACTCTTTCTGTCCTTCATAAACTTGGAAATCTAACAGAAACAATAAGAAACAAAAACAAAATGAAACAGAAAGAAAAATAATAATATAAAGATAAAAATTAAAATAAAGAGTAAGAAAGAAAAGACCACCAACAATATTTAAAAAGCTGTCATGGAACAAGCAAGCAACATTTGGGCCTAGAGCAAACTCAGGTTGGGTCAAGAGGCAGGTCAACTGACCAAGTAGCATATTATACCGTCCACCATGCTCAAGTTTATAACAATCTCTGTCTGAGAGTAAAGCTGTTCAAATCCCTCACCTATGGCCAGAGGGGATCTGCCCGAGGCTTACTCTGACAGAAGGATACTCTGCAGAAGGATTTTGGGCTCCCACTGTCCTCCTGAGCCTTCTACAAATCGGGTGCACACGCTTTCAGCTCTGATACTTTTTCCTTCATCATGTTTGGATTTTGTTATTGTCATCTTTGGCCACACAGACTGATGTGCTTCTTCCATGTGGACTTAGTTGACACCTCACCTCACTGAGATGGCTGTTTGTTTGAAGACAAGTTTTTCAGACCCCGGACACTATTCAGCTTGATAGCCAGCCGGACATCATCTATGTTCTCTCTCATGCTTTTTGGTAGCACCCTTATTTTCAGTGATTGCTTCATAAAGGTGAGTGTCGAGCAGGGTCATGTTCTAAGAACTACGGTAACTGTTCTTGGATTGGGTCTGGAATTAAGTGGGAGCCCAGAATCCATGTGCTTGTGCCTGGGTTATGGATGACTCTGGTTTACTTTGGTGAGCATTTTATGACAAAAGCCAAAACCAATAACAACAAAAACAAACAACCCCCCCCCCAAAAAAAAAACAACAACAGAAAAAACACAGTCAAACATTCCCCCTGGGGGGTAAGATGACTGATTGCACTGATAACATCAAGAATTAAATTGGTTGCTTTAGATGTGTTCATGTGACATGGATCTAGCCAATGAGATGTGAAGGGAAGTTTGCTGGGAGACTTCTGGAAAAGACTTCCTTTCTTTTAAATCAGCAGTTCTCAACCCGTGGGTCATGACCCCTTTGGGGGTCAAGCGACCCTTTCACAGGGGTCTCCCGATTCATAACAGTAGCAAAAATTGCAGTGATGAAGTAGCAATGAAAATAATGTTATGGTTGGGGTCACCGCCACATGAGGAAAGGTATGAAAGGGCTGTGGCATCAGGAAGGTTGAGCACCACTGCTGTAAAGAGTTCTCATCAAGATTGCAATGGGTGAGTTCAAACAGTCTGTCGGAGCTGTTGGATGTAAACCTGATGATCTGCTCTGTCAGCCTTCACCCAAGTCCCAAAAGAAGAAGAAAGATGCTCAGAGAGAGATGTATGGCAGAGAAGGTGTGTGCTGCAGCACGGACCTGACTCACAGCAACCCCCAGGACAGGCGTCCTACCCTGGGGTCTTTCCAGGGACAGACACACATCTTCCTGGGGCTTTCAAATGGCAGCCCTTTCGGTGAGCAGCAGGGTGCTTTACACTGTACCACGAGGCAGGGGTCCGGGATGATATATTTCCTTCCAGCTACGACATTGTAAATTGGAATTCCTGCTTTGGAATTACATTGGAATTGGAATTTCTGTGACTCACAGCCCAAACACCTGAGACCAGGCAGAGCTCGCCGGGATCATTTTTAGCCACTGGTCCAGGGATTGCAGCCTGCCAAAGGGCCACAAGTAACTTTGGCCTTTCTGATGACCAGGTAGAAACTAGCCCCAACCACTTTTAAGTCTTAAAACGACCCATTTCACAGTCAGAACCATAAGTGACCCACCATGGGGATGGAGCTGTGGCACTCCCATGAGCTCTGGTGACCTGAGCCAATGACTTCATCTCTCTGAGACTGTAGAACTGGCATTATCCGAGTAGAGTCCTCCCTCAGTAGCTTTGGGTTCCACACCGCAGATCCAACTAACCACACCGATCAAAAATATTGGAGGGGCCATCAGTTCGTGCCCAAATCAAACTTTCAATAGCTAAGAAGGTGCTACTTCCATTGCAGGTACACTGTGTGCGGTACTACAACTCATCTTGCAGTTGGGCTGGGAGCTGAGCTGCTGACCACAATTTGTGGTTGGCTCTTCAAAACCACCCGCCTCTCTCTGTGAGAAAGATGAGGCTTCCCGCTCCGTAAAGATTTACAACCTGAGAAGCCCACAGAGGCAGTACTACTCGGCCCTAAAGGGGTGCTGGCAATTGGAATCCATTCGATGTCAGTGAGTTTTTGGTTTGAGAGAGCTGATTTAAAGTCTATAGGAGGATGTGCATGGATCCGGTGCAAACACTTCACCATTTTACCAGGACGTGAGCACCCCGGATTTTGGTATCCGAGGGGGCCCTGGCATGACTGTACCAGCCTCATAGGGCTTTGGTGAGCACTGCCTGGATGCAGATCGATGAAGACCCAGGCGCAACCAGTTGCTGTCAGCACCCCTCCTGATTCCCAACGATGCCCTGTGCTGCAGAGTAGAACTTTGCTCCCCGGGGCTCGGTGTGAACTGTCCACCTTTCAGTTAGTGGTTGATCACATAACCAGGCGTGCCACCCAGGGATTTCTCATCTAAGTAGGAGGGATGCTTTATGATGATTGACCTAGAAGGGGATACTGAGGCACAGAGAGGTGAAGCGGCAGTGAAGGGAGGCCTTTGGCTTGGTGGTCCACTCCCGCCTCTGGTTCTGCCTCAGGTGGAATATTGCTTTGTTTTTGAGCTGCCCTCCGTCACCATCCTGGATAACAGGCTCCCATGTGGTGTCCCTCTGGGTTCCTGGCATCAGTCAGCATGGAGCCTGGCCCACCAGAGCGGTGCCAAGCCAATGTTTGCTCAAAGCATGACCGAAGAAGCAAGCCCGGCCCACGAGAGCCCCATGTGCACAGCACTCCAGTTTTCTGAGAATCACCGAGTGTCGCACATTCTTCTCCCCACCTCCCCACCACACACACCATTTGTTCCTCTGTGAAACTATCCCTTTAGAAGGCAAGTGACCCTCCCAAGGTCTCACAGCAAGTTGGTGGGACTCTAAGACTCTGTCCATCACTCCAAGCACTTCTCAGCTTAGAAAAGGTGGTTCCATCCCCGCCACCTGCTACCATAATCAACCCAGAAGAGCCACTCACCTTGGTCAGAGGAAGAGAAAGCTCAGAGGCCAGCAGGTGGCAGTGATGGCTCCCTTGGGGCCAGTTGAAGGTGGGCTGCAGGCACAAGCTTCCAGAGGGTTTCACCATTCCCTCCACCCCAGCCCCAGCAACTTAACTTGTAGCTTGGATCAGAATCTCTAGCCAGCACCCCAATCAAATGTCCGCTGTGAGCCTGTCCTGGCTGGAGGCTGGGGCTCAGACACAAGCCTGGCACATCTCTCTCAGCCAGACCAACACAAAATGTGGGTGGTGGCCTTAGGGGTGATGGTGGAGGTGGAGGTGGAGGGTGTTAGCAATCAGTCTGAGTCACCTTGCTCGCTCTCTCACCACTCGTTCACTCTCCCATGCACTTATTCACGCACATATTCTTTCTTTCATTCCTTCAACCCATATTTTAAATTCAGGCCCCAGTTTAGAATCACTTCCACTGGGAAGTCTTCCTTAATTTCCCACCCTTCTCACTCTATGACAGTGGCTCTCAATGCCTGTCCCAGACCAGGAGCAGCACTTAGGAACTTATTCCCGGTCACCCTTCATTGTTGAGTGATTCTGACACACATTGACCCTCTAGGACAGTGGTTAAGCACTCCACTGCTAACCAGAAGGTTGGTGGTTTGAATCCACCAGCTGCTCTGCAGGAGAAGGATGTGGCTGTCTGCTTCTGCAAAGAGGTGCAGCCTTGAGAACCCTATGGGCAGCTCTGCCCTGTCCTTTAGGGCTAGTGAGATAGTTTATTGTGCCAGCCTGGC